GCAGAAACCCGCCAGGATGGACACGACCAAAGATGAGCTGCCCCTCGCTCGTCTCTATAAATATGTTTGGTGGCACTTGAGTCAACTAACCTGTTATTACTGACATAACTCCGAGTAACTGCAGGTAACACGTAATATTTTACATCAACTAAAAAATAATAAACAGGTTCTATGTTCATGGATTTATAGCACAATTTAAACAGTGATAAATATTTGCTAAACAAGGACTCACAAATAATATTTTGTTTTAATTCTCTATTATAACTTTACAATCATATCTTTATTTTTAGACTCCATGAAATATTTTAACAAAAATAAATGCTGGCAATGAAAATGAGCTGAGATTCCAAGCTACATGTGCCAACTCCCGTACCTCCTTCCGACTGTGCAAAAGGAATATTCTATTATGTAGGATGCAGTTTGTATAGTGCTTTGATATAACTATGACTCAGGTGTCAGTAACTACGTAAATCAATTGTTAACATTAGGTGTCTCCAAGGAATAATTACATGTAATTTTACCCAAAGATGAGCCCTCTGGCACGCCCCTGAGTGTCAGCGTGGGATGCACTTGGGTTTGGACACTGAGCTGGGGCAGTGTGCTGGGCTGCTGGTCCCCTTTGGGAAGAACACAGAGCCGCTGCTGCAAGTCCATTAGCTTGCCACAGACACAATGCACCAGTGCACGTCCATGCTCCAGTTCTCTCACCTGAGCCTGAGAAGACCCCTAGCCTCCCCACCCAGCTGCCTGGAGAGGCTTCCTTCTTCAGATTCAGCCCCAGGGCCCCGCCCTCACGCCCGCCCATCAGGAAAGCTCCTCCCTCCACTAGACACCCTCTCATACACCCGAGACTGCACACATGACAGTGCGCAGGAAGCATTTGTTCACATCTATCTCCCCCCCTTGGACTCAGAGCTCTGTGAATTGAAGAACATGCTGTCATTACTCCCATCACCCCAGGCCCAGCACATGCTAGACAGTCAAAGGTCCATCAAAGGCAGGGATGAGGTCAGAAACTGTGATTAGTGAAAGCTATCTCCAGACAGACAGACATAAAGAAAGTAAGCCCTGTCTGGTGTGACTCAGTGGACTGAATGCTGGCCTGTGACACAAAAGGCCGCTGGTTCAATTCCCAGTCGGGGCACATGCCTGGGTTGCAGGCCAGGTCCCCATTTGGGGGCACGTGAGAGGTAACCTCACATTGATGTTTCTCTCCCTCACTCTCTCCCTTCCCCTCTCTCTAAAAATAAATAAATAAAATCTTTTTAAAAAAATAAAGAAAGTAATATATACAGATATCATCAAAATGTTATCAGGGCTGAGGGAAACATTAAAGATAAATTCTACCCTTAAAGAATGGTTTATATTCCAAACTCTGAGCTTTCAGTCCAGACTTCAGTAACCTGGCAGACAAGCCGAGGCTGAGGATGTTCTTTGGAAAAGCCATTCGGATTTATTTGTACGAGTCTCGGAGGAACCGACTCTGGGTGTGATCGTGGACGGAGAGGGCGGCAGCCAAACACGGTGAGATTTCCACTCTTGGCACCACTTCTGATGATGAGAATCATTACGGTCAATGACGTACCATAACACTCAGAATGAACCAGCACCTTCACTACAGGCAGACAGTCCCTCTGTGCAAACGCAGCCCCGGGCTCCAGCGCAAGGCCACTCGGACCCCCTGTGCATTTCTTACGCCAAGTAGGAACTCGTCTACAATGTTTCCCTCAAAATGTCTCTGCGACCAAAATGGTGGTGACCCTGCCAGCATCACAGCCCGGGCCCCTGAGGGGCGAGGTACGGGCCGTAAATAGGAGAAGCCTGATTTTTACACACAGTTGCTTAGCATCGAGTACTTCTATGTCAAAAGACAAATGGCACCAATAAAATAGCTTATTACAAAGGCTACCAGTAAGCCCTAGAAAAGTCACGACCCACTGCCAACTTTCCAAAGCAATTCTCTCAGCTGAACTTGATATTTATTGCTGCTATGATTTTTTACACAATGAAACTGCTCAGAACCCCTCCCACTGGGTATTTTGCCCTTAACTCCAATGCCTCGCTTTCCACCCACAACTCAGTGTGCCTTTCCCACGCTGGCGAAGACACGCGTTTCTCATGTGGCCCTCAAATAAATCTGAGCTCATGCCTTAACCTCTCCATTTTATGCCTGCCGACCAGTTTTTCTTAGGCTCTTTTTGCCCCACCCGAATCTTGGCCCTTCCTGAGATTTGCATGCCCCCCCCAGAGTGGGTCTCTGCCCCCCTCTCCCCACCTCCCCATTGGTTAAGTATTCCTCCCGATGCAGCATGGGCCTCACTCTGTGGCTGTTTACCCATCTCCCACGGCCAGGATGAAGTGACCAGGGACAGGAAATACAGTCAACCACGACCCCTAATTAAAAGCAGGTCTCAAAAAAGGTAAGACTAGTGAGCAAGGGAAGGAGGAAGTCCTAAATAGGTGAGGAAGAAAGAGAAAGCTAGAGGTGCTGCAGGTTTGAAAGCAGGCATAGCCTAGTGATTAAAAAGACAGACTCCAGAGCAAAATGCCACGGTTCAAATCCCACCCTGCCACTTTCTAGTCATGTGGGCTGGGGGAAGGGACCTGAGGGACACTAAGAATAACTGAGTCAACAGATGAGACACACCTACCTACCCATGGGCCTTACCACGTTCTTAGCACTGCAAGTGTGGGAAATTAATGTTTACACAATGGATTAGCCCTTTAAGAACTCTGGTTATGCTACACTAATAAAACATAAGAAATTTTGACTTTGTTTTAGAGAGGCAGTTTTTTTTACTAAAAGGCAGCAAACGGAACGAACAGATGTCCAGCCCTCTGTTCGGCCAATGCTGATTTGTGCACGCGTGTGAATTTACCCATCACAACAAACAACTCACCCAAAAGAGCTACTAAAGCAACTCACGTCACATGAAACAGTTCTGTTCTTCAGGTTATGAATTATACCCATTTCCCCCGGATATCATAGGAAAACGCCCCATAATTGGTTTTTCAAACTGTAAGATCACAGCTCCCAAAGTTTGGAGAGCAAACGGAAAGTAAGAGCGTGGAGGGCTTCTGAACAGGACCGTAGGGGTAGAGAAACTGAAAAACACATGGAACTCGAGCCCAGGGAAGTCATAACATCCCCCTCTCTCCTTCTAGAAGCTCCGGGCTCCCAGGCGCCAAAGGGAGAGGCCCATGTGCCACTGCCGGTCGGGGCAGGAGGTTGTGTGCTCCAGGTGGTCACGGCCCTGAAACCTAACATCCGTCTGGGGGCGGGGAGACGGGTGGAGATGGTCTGCACAGGGCTTTTATCTTAATGACACACCAGCGGTCACTATCACACACAGAGCCGACCCGATGCTCTCAGCCATCCCGCCCTTCCTGTGAGTCCGGGACCCCAGTCCCTGCAGCACACCACCCAGGGTGGCCTACCTGGAACCACCTCCCAGCCAGAGCTTCGTCCCAGCAGTAGGAGTGACCACAAGCTCCCACACCCCATCCTCCAGTCTTCTCCCAACAGGGCCAGTGTCGGCAGGGCAGGCTCTGCAGAGAAAACCGGTCTGCATTTTTTCTTAGCACTGCAGGCACTAGAGAGTGCGGGATGGGAGGGGGGGTTACCATTCGCTCAGTCTTGAACTGGAACCTGCATGACAGATGCATTATTGCTCCTGTATGTGCCGGAATGTGAATCCTGACGTGCAGCAATTACAAAAGAATTACTTTAAGTACACCCCTGAAACAGAATGCCTCATTAACCAGCCGTGCTCCCTCCATTAGCAAACTCATCATTGGAGTAGGGCCCTCCTGGAGGAAGGGGGGAAGCCCCCGAACTCCAAACCTGGAGAGCCTCTCTGCACAGAATGACACACCATGGCCTGTGAGACTCGGCTGATGGAAAGGGACGTGCCCGGACTCCAAGAACTAGTCCTCGGGTGGCATCTGCTCTCCGCCCCCTTTATTAAACAGCCCGACTTTGAATGCACAATCACAGATGGGAAAGAGAAACTGACGGAAAGAGGAACTGACAGCCCCTAACACAACGCTTGGCGGTGAAATGAGGAATAAGCAGGAAAGGCCAGCTTGGTCATGCCACGGGGGTGGTAGGTTCAACTCAGGGAAAGGAGTAGAACATCATTTTAGATTGTGCCCTAGAGCCTAAAATGCTGCTGGGATTGTTGCAGAACAGGGAGACGCCAGCCACCGCCAGAAATGCATCAATGACCAAACCGAGGACATCACGTTGCTTCTGTGTCCAAGGAGGAAAACTCCTGGCTCCCGTCGCCTTGGAATGTGACCGGAAATGGGTTTAAGTTAACTCAGAGGATGACAGAATCCTGTTATTTTTCTTATTTACCAGATTTCAGTTGGTTTCAGCCTTTCTCTAAATAAGTGGTGAAAAACTATAATGAAGAATGTGGCGATAAGCTTAGGGAAACAAACTTTGACATCAGTGCGAAAAATCTAAAACCCTTCCAAAATAAAAAAGTATACCTAAAAACATTATATCACGGGCATGGGCAATAGTGTGGTGATTGCTGAGGGGAGGGGACATAAGGGGACTAAATGGCATTATAAGAAAAATAAAATAAAGATTTTTTTTTTAAAGGAGACACCGTGACGGGTGGCTGGAGCCTGGGAACACAGGGTCTCCTCAAACTATTTTTACAACTTCTTACTCACGTACAATCCCCTAAAAATATTTTCAATCATCCTCGGAGCAAAATCAAAATGCAAACCCTGTAGTATATGAGTTAATTTGAATACCTGTAAGAAGTTTAAAATTTGGTTCTAAATTTCCTTGGAACGAAGGCATGCGACCACCCGAGTCTGAAAGAAATTTCTTATGAAGCGCTTTATGTGCACAGGAAGGCTGGGGAAGCAAGTCACGACAAACAGGCTCCCCTGCACTTTCCCTCGGGTGGCTCCTGACTGCTGCAGTCTTGATGTTTGTGTCCCCCCCAGCCCACCCCCAAATTCCCATGCTGAACCCCAGTGCCCAAGGTCACGGTATCAGGATGTGATTAGGTCGTGAGAGCAGAGCCCTCACAGCAGATGCCTAGGAAAGTGCCCGCCCCTCCTTCTGGTGAGAACCCAAGAGAAGACAGCAGTCCATGAACCCGACGAAGGCCCTCACCAGACCTTGACCCTGCCGTGTCCTCCTCATCTCAGACCTCCCACCCTCCAGAACCTTCGGCCGTAAATGGCAATTGCTGGGGAGCTGCCCAGTCTGGGGCATCCATTGCAACCACCTGATTGCACTAAGACACGTGAGGGCCCTCAGCAGGGGAACAGGAGACCTTGGAGCACAGCTCTGGAAGGTCTGGATGGGACGCGAGAGAGCCTGGCACCTCCAGGTGGGAGGCGGTACGGGGCCTTCAGACACGCCTGATGTCCTTTTCTCTTAGGCAGGCTTCTGATCAAAGCCATTTGGCCCAAAGGTTGAGGGGACACACTGATCTGCTTCCAGAGACCAAGATCCCAAAGTGCTAAGGACAACGCTCGGTGTGGGGAAGGTCAGACTGGCAGACAGCAGGCGGGGCCTTGGTGACGACGCTGGGGCGTTTAGCAGAGCTTCCCGAAGGACGCGTGCACAGAGGTGGGCACAGAGGAGGCCGCGGGCTGCACAGGACCTTTCCTGGATGGCGCGGAGACCCTGCTCTGTCTGACACGCAGGCGTGTACGGAGCACCCAAGGGTGCTCGCACCGTCTCACAAAGGGAGTTACCAATGTCCTAACCTGGCCGATGATGACTTCAGGGAGTCCCAAGGATCACTTGAGCAGCATGGCTCCCTGAAACGACCACTGCTGTCACCACACAGCTAAAGGAACGGGCTTTGTGAAACCCCGGGGCTGTCCACCACTTGTCACCTGAACTCGGAGAAGGGAACGAATGGCCACCCATGGCAGTGGGGATCCCTGTGTGCACGTGAAAGGCAAATGCATCAAGGTCTGCCCTGACTTCTGCCTCCCCTTGAGTTTTTCAGAATGAAAGGGAATGTGTATGCAAAGGAACAATGAGCTCATATGCCTTATGTCTGAAGGGAAAAAAAAGGAAGGAGAACGTTATTCTGGGCAACATCTTGTCTTATGTAAATTACTTGGCAGCATTTGGCCAAATCCATAAAGAAAGTTTAAGTACCATGTTTTCACCATAGATCATTTCCATAAAAGTCTAATAGCTACACTAAATTTCTGAAGAGCTAATTAAATTATAATTACATTCCACAGATATTTACTGACTATTTATTATGTATGAGGCAATATTCTAAGACCCGATAAGTCCGTTTGTACCAGGATCTGCCTTCAAACACTTCACAAGCTAATGAGGGGAAGAGAAGACATTAAGGTACCCTGATAGCAATGTTTTAGAATAAATTGTGTACCCCCCCCAAAAAAAAATTTCATATTGCAGTTTGGTACTTTAGAATGTGATTGTATTTGGAGATAGGACAGTCAAAGAAGTAATTACAGTTAAATGAACTCATGGGGGGGGGCCCTAATCCAGTTGGACTGGTGTCCTCCTAAGAAGAGGAGGAGCTACCAGGGAGGTGTGTCCCCAGAGAATAAGCCACCTCAGGACACAGAGAGAAGCCTGCAAGTCAGAGAGAGAGGCCTGGGAGAAAGCCGACCTGCCAAAACCGGGATCTTGGACCTGGGCCTCTGGAACGGACACTTTGTTGTAACCTAACAGACAAATACAGGCACTCTGAGGGGAAGTAATGATCATACCAGTAGGGCAAAGGGCTTTTTATTTAATTGACGGAATCGGGAGAGATTTCATAGAAGAAGTTGGGATGGTATTGGGTTGGCCAAAAAGTCCATTAAGTTTTTTCTGTAAAATAAAAGACATTTTCATGTTCACCAATAACTTTATTGATTTGGATGTTTTGAGTCTGTCAGCTCTCTCTCACTATTGGCTTCCAGTGGGTAGAGGCCAGGGGTGCTGCTAAACACCTTCCAATGCATAAGACAGCCCCACAGCAGAGAATTATTTGGGCAAAATGTCAACAGGACCGAGAAACTTCACAAACCACCTCTGACATGTTCGATCAGTCATAGTACCTTCTCCACACACTGCACAAATCTTTTTTTGTGTTTCGGTTTCATTTTTACATTTCTTGAAATAATAAAGCATAATATGCCAAAAATGTTGCCTATTTTGATTGTCAATATTAAAATGGCCACACATAAATTCACCAGTTTTGATAAGTTTTTTTTTATGCACGCTGATATGACAGCTGTCACCATACAGTCTAACAAAACTGTTTCGGGCAGAAGCAGCAATGGGAGAGGACCTGGGCGGGGCTGCTTTGGCTCACCGAAAACTCAGAGAAAAGGGGTCCTTGGGGGCAGGGGCAGGGGCTGGTCCGGGACAAGCGGCTGCTGCCCACTGCTCCCTGGTTGCAAGTCCCGTGAGGACACTCAGAGTCTGGGAAACGCAGCCAGAGAGGGAAGGCGTGGGCACGTCCCCAGAGGGAGAGCACGTCCTGGGTCCTTCATCTTGAGGGTCTCTCTCTCTCTCTCCCAGGCATGAATCTTGGGAGATCTCAGGGGAGGATGTCATGAGAATAGTCATCAGCTTTCCAGGTGCGCCCTGTCCGGGTCCTGGTCCCCACCGGTCTGCCAGCACCGAGTCCAGGGAGTCTTCAGTCACTGCGGCTGCTCCTGGGGTCACCCACCTGGTTCTGCTGCTTTTCTGGGCCTGGAGCCGAAACTCCAGTGAGGCCTGGATGTCATCACCAGGGAGCAAAGGCCAGGGAGGCCTAACCACACAACCAGCAATGTGATGGGTCGGGGGGAGGAAAGGCCGCCCTGGGGGTGAGGTCCTCATTTTCCCAGTTTTCCCCGTTGCTGGGCACCCGGGGCTCTGCCCTGTGACCTTCTGTATCTGGCTGTCAATCGTCCAGCCAGTGTGTTCAGCTTTCTGTCTCGGTTTCCCCGTTGCACTCGCCGAGGAAGTTCCCAGCTTCCCCCTCTTCTGCCCTGGGCACACATTCAGAGAAACGGTCAGTTGTCCAGCCTTTAGGTGCAACGAGGATGACAATTTCGGAATGTGGAGAGGGCCTTGTGAGGGCAATGAAGTTACTAAAGTGTCTGTTTTCTCTTTTTCCTTAAAGAAAAGCACACGCTAATGTTCTAAGTATAAACTAATTATAAGATTGTGAGATTAACATAACACAAACAATTCTGAGATCACAGCCTTGGATGTTGTGGTGATACCAATTCATCGCAAGCTAGTCTGAACTCTGAAGCACCTGCAAGAATAAAAGCTGCTCTCTGAGAAGAGACACTACCATGAATTCCTACTTCGTGTTCGTTACATGACCCACTGGCGGTCACCCGCAACCCCGCAGGGGTACGTGCCCCTGAGGGACACCACCCTCTCACTGTGTGCCTTTGAGTTTCCAGTACAAACTGGGGAGACTCTGTCCTTCAGAACTGCAATTTCTACCTCAGTGAATGAACGAGAAGGTATGATATCTCACACCATTAGTTACACCATTTATTATCTGACCACTGAGGATACTGTTAGATCATCAGCCCAGCAATGAGACGTCTATTTACGCTCCACTGACACGCAGAGACTGGGGGAAACACAGATAATTGAAAGGGTACTTAAAACTCTCATCATTAAACCCACGGTGACCAAATGCGGTAAGTTTCCACAGACACCAAAATAAACAAAAAACCCAGGTCCGGACCCGACCTCTAATTATGTCGTTTCTGTTTATCACAGACAAACGTCAAAATAGCCACATTAGTGCATGTGGAGGCCAGTGAAAACCCCACAATTGCTAAAGAAACCAGAAAAACAGATGTGGCACTCCTGCTTCTTACGGATATAATATAGCAGAATAAAGAAAATTTTAATTTGCAGCAAATAAAGCGGACGCCTTATTTCTGCCAGGGACACTGGGCATAAGGGTGACCAGTGACATTTAGTGTTTGGCCAGTTTTATTTACAGAGGACGGTGAGGGAAGGAGGGAGAGAGCAGCCCAACCCTAAGCCATGTGACAAGGTGGATGGGAGAGGAAGCACCTGGCATCTCCTGAAGAGTCACTCTCCACAAGAGGAGACGGCTTCCTGTAGCAGAAAGACACTAACTCCCTGGCCGCCGGGCGACATCCCTGGGCCATGGCCGGGACGCTGGGGCTTCCCCAGCACAACGCACAGGGCAGGCTGGGTGCCCGTGGGCAAGGCACAGTGGCTCCGATAGCCCTCCTCTGTCTGTGTCCCTCCCCCACAAAAAAGCAAAAACAAAAATCAGGTGTGAACAACAGGGACCCCCTCCCAGTGGAAAGATCTTTGCTGATCGGCTGGCCTCTCTTCCCTTTCCAAGAGGCTGTGGAGCAGGCAGCAGGCCAGGGCCAAGCCCCAACGAGAAACAAAGGCAGCAAAAAATAGACGGTCAGCTCCAAGTATAAAAAGCAAGACTGCTCTTTTGAGGAAAATGCTATTTTTAAAAAGTCAGGCAATCCGCCTCTCACATAAATGCAACCAGCTTTCATGATGGAAACTCCTGGCCACCTGCTCTCTCGAGGCACAACTATTGAACTAAAAATAAGAATGTATTGATTTCTAGGGACATTGTGTCCCAGCAGAAAGGGAAGGTGCTCCGGCGCAAGTCCGCGGGGCAGCAGGCTGTGGCACCACGGCTACACGGCCGGGAGCGGGCAGGGGCCTTGCTATTTATAGCAGGATTCTTCTGTTCGGCTGCAGTCAAACCCTCGGGGGAACAAAGACCGTCTCCAACAGCGAGGCCTCCGTGGGAGCTCCCAGCGTGGCCAAAGGATGCCTGCTGCCCCTGAACGCGAGCTCCAGGCCCTGTGATTCGGATTTGCGCTTTTCAGTCACCATGTCACATATTAACTTAACAGGTAACTTTTCAATAAAGTGAAAAAATTTTTAAATACTAGGACATCTTGTCTTAGAACACTGTCAACACTTGCAGCACTGCGGTGACAAAGGGATAATCCACTGGCAGCCCTGACTCTGTGGGTGGGTCCCGGCCGAGAGCAGCACCTGCCTGCCTCTCGCCCACTCGGAATGCACCTGCACCTCAGCAGGCAGGAGTCCCGGCCGGTCCTGCTTCCTTCCTGCGCCCTCCACCCCCAGCCCTCCCACATCCTCTGCTGGGTCTTCACATCGCAGGTGGAGATGGAGGAGGTGCAGGTGACCCATATAAGAAAAAGGGTGTCGTCATTTGTAAAAAGCATCCACAGCAGACGATGTCATCTAGGTACCTGAGAGCTGGCCCTGTGGTCTCCTCACACCTGGGCATCTGCTGCTGTCGCAGCTCAACAGCTGTTTCTCTTGAAGAAGGGGCTGTGAGGACAGTGGAGAAGGAGGGAACCATCTGAAGTCTGGCCGGGGCAGGGAAGTCTGGAGGCGTGAGCAGTGGGCGGGAGGACCCACCTGATGTGCGGAGGGGACAAGGGCTGAATTCGACACAGGCGGGCTCCTGGTCCCAGTGGTGTCTCCATCGGGCTGAGGAAGAAAACTTTAATCTTACGGTTACCAGTTTACGCTGACATCATTTACCATGGACTGAATTTCTACCTTCCTCTAGACATTTCCCCTCGTCATTGGTTAACTATTTTTAATTCTGACTAGTCACTTCTATTTTATATACTTAGCCATCTTTCGCAATTTTTCACAGCACTTTTTTAATGCCTGTGGAGCTTTCATCAGAAAAAACATCACTCTGTGACACTGCTGCCATCCTTTGCTTCTGCTCCCATATCTCAGGTGACAGTCTCCAGCCCTGGCCCTGGCTCCTGTGTAAGGGTCCAGAGTGGGGTCCCTGTTCGGGACACAGGATGCCCTGCCTGTTTAACCTGATCTCACCAGACATTCGGATCATTACGAGGTCCGTCGTTCATGGGAAGAGGAGAGGAATAGTGTCCACGAGACTCATAAACCTCTCTAAAGAGATCCATGTGTCTCCTCTGCCTGGACCCAGAAGACTGTTCCACGTTCTTCAAGAACATTCCTTCAGAGTAAACCGTGAATGAGCAACGAAGATTTCTCTAAAGACTTCAGGGGGATTGGGGGCAGCTGCCGGGCTGCGGGGCCCTGCAGACACAGGTCTTCTTCCCCGTCTCCAACCAGCCTTCCGCCCACACTCCGTCGGCCTGCTCCTGAGAAGCCTCTGTCCCTCACTGGCTTGTACCCCCACCCTGAGAACATTTTCAGTTTCCCAAACTCACCCACATCTCTGTGCAGGAAAATTTAGTGCCATCCCGGTTTTGACCTCATGTCCCGGATCGGACGCCGGGCCCTGCACACTGACTGTCCCTATGGACAGGAGGGGGCTGTCCCTGCAAGACAGCCGACTCTGCACTCGGCAAAGCACCCAGCCCCCACAGCCAGCACCCGCGGGAGGCAGGGGCGGACCAGCAGGAGGAAAGAAAACACAGTGGACAACGGCAGAGCCAATAGAAACGGGCTTACACAAAACCCAACATTTACACATGAGGTCAGAGGCTGTGGTGAGAGCACTCGTTATCAGGGAATTCCTGAGGCAGAGCAGGGCGGTGGCTACCAGAGAGACCTATCTGGTCCCGCCCGGCCTGGAGTTAAACACAAAGAGCAGGAAGGCAGCCCTGGGGACCCTGCAGCAGTCCCACAGGTGCCCGGAGACTGGGGCACGGCAGCAGTGCGAGTCCAGGGCTTCTGGCAACAGGCCAGCCGCCCAGAACGGGCTGATTTTTGGCACCGGAGATGATAAACAAGGACCGGAAAAGGAAAAATTATGATTAGTGAGTTAAGTATGAAAAGGGGGAAAAAATCTTTGAAAACTGATTTCTCTGTATCCAACTCCATAAAAGTCTTCCCTGAAAAGTTTAAACAGTAAGTTCAGCTCCTTTCCCAAAGATGTGATAAAGGACTAAGAAAGTTTCCTATCAGGAGGCAGCCAGAAGCCAAAAATCCCTGCGCTCTCTCCCCCCTCCCCCAACCAGCTCCCGCCCTTGACTTCTGTGTTTCATTGAACGGGGCCTCCGCTTTCCAAGTCCATCAGGCCCTGCACTTCCCTCTGTGTGTTGGCTTTTTGTCAGACCATCCCCCACGCAAGGGCCAAACACTGGAAATCTGACCAACACCTGGCTCAAGCCCTCCCACAGGCTAATAACAGAAAATACGGCCTCGCTGGGTAATGCAGATCTGCCAAACGAGGGTAATGAGGATCTGCCAAACACCGATATACTTTGTTACACAGTAGCAAAGGTCCACAGAATCCCATTGGGAGAGTTTTCAAGTACAGGTTCCCCGTGAGGCTCACAGTGGAAAAAGCACATTTTCCAAAGTCTCACTTTTGCTTGACAGGGCACATTTTATCAGCAGCCACGACTGCTGTCAGACGCTTGGAAGGGACAGGCTTGTGTTGTTCGTTTTTGACAATGTCCATCAGGTACCTATAGTTTGCGTTACCTATAATGTCAGTTAGTTTTCCATCTAAAGGTGGAGTCTAGAGAATGACGAAAGCTGCTATTTCGGCTTGCAAGTCCAAGGTTTACTGGAGTGTCTCCGTCCTCGCCACCAGCACGGGCCAATAGGGTCCCCTTTTGTCCCACACACACTGTGAAAAGGACGTGAACCCGAGGGGTGAGCTTCTCACTGCTTCACCAAGGAGACTCTGGAGCAAAACTGGCATTTTTTTCTTGCGGGAGCCTGGGAGCAAAAAATCCGATGTCCACGCGAGGTGCCGCAACCTTGCCACGCCCGAGAGCTTTCCCAGCATTCCTTTTCAGCATTAATACAAATGCCAAACTCAGGGGGAGGAGCAAATGACACCTTAGCATTACTGGAAAAATAGCTTTGACTTTGCAGCGCCCCCGCCCCAGGGGGGTCCAGGGAGACCCCACAGAGCCTGACCTTTCTGCTTTGAGAGCCTCCAGCCAGACCACTGGCTAACCTGCCTTCCTAATGGGCCTCCTGCCTCCAGCCATCTATGAGGCAGATCATTTTTATCAAAAAAAAATGCTGCCAGATTCATCTAAAACACAAAAAAGATATCTTCCTGGTCCCTTTGAAATCCTGGGCGTCCTCCCCACTGGTGAGGGAGTTAACTGCAGCTGCCTTGAGATGCCCCAGAGGCGGCCGAGGCTGCTCCCTGCCCCCGTCCCCGCCCCCTGTGCCCCCGTCCACACCCCCTGTGCCTGGCTGAGCAGAACTGGGGGTTTCTGGGCTGGGCATTTGCTGCTGTAACTTCCTCTGTCCAGAGTGCACCTGTTACTACCCAGTTGTTACCCAACCTGTGGCAGCGCAAGGTGCATGTGAGAATTGGCTGGGCAGCTTTTAAAACTTACTTCTTCCAAAGCTCTTGCTTCCAGGGACTTTGGCTGGCTTTGAGCAGGGCCAGGCCTGGACTTGGTCTTCCTTCATACATCTTAAGTGATGCTCAGCTGAGACCCAGCGAGTCTGTCGTATGTGGACTGCAGAAGGCGCAGGGGCCCCCGCAGCCCCCAGTCTCCCTTCCTCCCCTACCTTGCACTCCAGCTGCTGTTCTGTGGACCTCGCCCCCAACAAGCTGCTCAGCCCTTTGAGACAGTGCCGTGCTGTACTGCCTGCTGTGTCCCCCGTGGTGTCCCATCGAGCTCCAACCAGGACACAGACTCAACATGTGTGTGCACACACATGTGTAGTGAAATACACATCACGGCAAGTTTACCATTCCAACCATCATAAGTGTCTAGTTCAGTAACATGAAGTACACTCACAATGTTGTCACCAGAACCCCAGAGTCTAGTTCCGGAACTTTTCCTCACCCCAAATGCAGACCCACCCCCCCAACAGCCCTTGCCCATACCCCACCCCTCAATGCCTCATAACCACTCACCTGCTGTGTGTATTACAATCTCTACACACGTGATGTAAGTCAGCACGTGTGGCTCATGTATCTAGCTAGAACATACTACGCACACATCTATCCATGTGCCCTATAAGCCAATCAGTACACGCACTGCTATATAAGCCACGGGCATCCCTTGGAGCTCCCGCAGCCCTCTGTCCACCACCTCACGGACACTCACAAGCTGCCCCCTCTGAAGCCAACCCCCCTCACAAGCCAACCTCGAGACTTCTGCAAGTGAAACCGCCACATTTATTGTCATATTTATGTATTTCTTAACCATTTAACATACATAATACCATGCTATGATTTGCATCTGGTTCCTGTTTTGTTCTTTTAAGGTGTCACCGATGACGTTTTTAAATGTTGGGTCCCTAGCCCCATTTTTCCCGTAAGAGCTGTGGTTTTCATTGTGCAATTCTGTGCAGCAGGGTGAGTTTCGGGAACCCAGAAGCAGCCTCTGCGCCGAACTGAATGCGTGGTTCTCACTTCCAACCAGAAGCGTAGGTCCAAGACCAAGCTTTCAGGATTTGCTTCTTCCTTTCTTTCTTTTTTTTTTTTAATTTTTTTTATTGATTATGCTGTTACAGTTGTTCTATTCCCCCTTTATTCCCCTCCACCCTACCCCCCATCCCCACCATCACCCCCCTTTAGTTTATGACCATGTATCTCAAGTCCTTTAGATTCTATATTTCCCATGCTATTCTTGCCCCCCCATCTATTTTCTATCTACTGTCTATGCTACTTATTTTCTGTACCTTCTCCCCCCTTCTCCTCCTCCCACTCCCCTGTTGCTAACCCTCCTTGAGATCTTCATTTCTATGTTTCCACTCCTGATCTAGCTGTCCTCTTAGTTTGCTTTCGTTTTAGGTGTGGTTGTTAATAACTGAGTTTGTTGTCCTTTCACTGTTCATGTTTCTTTAACTTCTTTTTCTTAGATAAGTCCCTTTAACATTTCATATAATAAGGGCTTGGTGATGATGAACTCCTTGAATTTGATCTTATCTGAGAAGCACCTTATCTGTCCTTCCATTTTAAATGAAAGTTTTGCTGGATAGAGCAATCTTGGTTGTAGGTCTTTAGATTTCATGACTTGGAATACCTCTTTCCAGCCCCTTCTTGCTTGTAAGGTCTCTTTTGAGAAATCCGCTGACAGTCTGATGGGAACTCCTTTGTAGGTGACTGTCCCCTTAGCTCTTGCTGCTTCTAGGATTCTCTCCTTCATTTTAATCTTGGCTAATGTAATTACGATGTGCCTTGGTGTGTTCCTTCTTGGGTCCAACTTCTTTGGTACTCTCTGAGCTTCCTGGATTTCCTGGAAGTCTATTTCCTTTGCCAGATTGGGGAAATTCTCCTTTATTATTTGTTCAAATAAGTTTTCCACTGGTGGCTTTTCCTTTCCCCCTTCTGGTACCCCTATAATTCGGATGTTGGAGCGTTTAAAGATGTCCTGGAGGTTCCTAAGACTCTCCTCATTTCTTTGAATTCTTGCTTCTTGACTCTTTTCTGTTTGGCCATTTTTTCCTTCCTTCTAGTTCACTCCATTGATTTGAGTCCCAGTTTCCTTTTCATTGCTATTGGTGTCCTGTGCAATTCCATTCATTTCAATTAGTTTCACCTTCATATATTTGTCTAATTTGTCCGTATAATCAACCAGTTCTGTGAGGATCCTGATCACCAATGTTTTAAACTGTGCGTCTGTGAGTTTTGCTATTTCTTCATCGCTTAGATTTATTTCTGGGGCTCTGAGATCCTCCTGCGCCATTCTTGGTCTGTTGGGGCCCTTTAAGTGTGAGAAGCAGCGGCTTGGATTCCCAGGTCGCTGGGTTGTGACGCTGTATGTGGGGGCGTGGCCCGAGCGGGGAAATGGCGGCCCCCTCTGCCGCTTCTCACAGCTGGGTGCAGAGAAGCAGTGCCTTAGGTGGTTCACCTGGGCCGGGCCACTCAGAGTCGCTGGGTTATGACGCTGTATGTGGAGGTGGGGTCAGAGCAGGGAAATGGCGGCGCCCTCCACTGCCGCTGGCCGTGGGGACCTGCCGGCCCGGTCCAACCGCCCACTCCCTCGCCTGTCCACCCTCGCACAAATGCGCGACCTCAGTCAACACGCAGCCCCGGCCCGGCTGTCTCCCCCGAGGTCGCTCGCCTGGTTGCTCGCTGGGTCGCTCACTAGGTCTGACCCTGCACCTGGATTCCGTGGGCCTGAGTGTGTCTGGCCGAGTCCTCCTGTGCAACCCTGCTCCGCCAGCCGCTGGTTTCGCCCCTTACCGGTCAGGCTGAAGAATTTGTTGTTAACGGACTTCCGAAAAGTTCAATTTTCTGTGTTCTGGCTGTGTTTTCTGTTGCTAATATTTAGTTTTCTCTAATCTTGGTTGTGGGAGAAGGCACGGCACATCCACCTATGCCTCCATCTTGGCGGAAGTCTCTCTTCCTTTCTTTCAAGTCAGTCCTGGACACCGAACAAAGATGTCACTGCACGGATTGAAAGCCTCTCTCCACTCAACTCCCCGTGAAACATATTCTCACATCACCGTAGGAGGAAGGGCTTCCTCCTCCTCTGCTGTCGGGAAAGCCCAGGGAAGATTTCCTGCAAGAGGCACAAAGCTACCACGTAAGCCAGCCCTGGCTGCACTTGGTCCCACGACCCTCATTCCCACGAAAACCTGTGATCCTGCGGATACCACCTGGAAGGAACAGATTCTCTAAAAATGCCCAGAGCTTGCTCACACCTCATTCAATTTTTCTCCTGCTTACATTTCCAAGAATTTATGGGACTTATTAAGTAATTTACTGCCACACTTAACAAGACTTAATTGGGCTGTTTCAAATGAAAATCATTCAGAGAAAGAGCCAAGAGGATGATTACAGTGAGGAAGTGAGATTTCAGAATCGTCTGGGAAAAACAACTGCCCTCACAGTGTAATCAAGTAATACGATAAAATAAAACTCACACTTCATATAAAAAAGTGATAAATAATCAATCACACTACATTATATACAGGAGTAACCGCAAAAAGAAAAAAGCCTTCCACCCACACCTGGTCCCTGGGGTGGGCACGCAGCCTTCTCTGATTACTTCCAACTCCTGCTCCCG